CTGTTCCCCGCGTGTGTGTGTGTGTGTGTTTTTGTGTGTGTGTTGTTTTGTGTGTGATGTGTTGTGTGTTTTTGTATGTTTTTCCCACCATCGAGCGCGAGCGCGTCCCGGCAGCCCGCGGCGTGCGCTCTTTGCACCGCGCGCGAGCCGCCCAGCAGCTCGAGCGAAGGACACCGCTGTGACGTCGTCGTCGCCGGCATCGTCGCCGCCCGCCGTCCGCCGTCAGGAGGAGGAGGAGGACGAGGACGAGGAGGAGGAGGACGAGGAGGAGGACGCGGAGGAGGAGGAGGAGGAGGAGGAGGAAGAGGAAGAGGAAGAGGAGGTCCGTTCTTTGTCTCGGGCTGCCTCAAGCAACCACCCGTCTAAACGGTGCAAACTATAACGAATGTGCGCGGCGCCACGGCGACAACTCCACTAAAAAAACGACCTGTGCCCCATCCGAGCAACAGATGCGAAGTGCTACGACGAACGTGCGCGGAGTTATTGCAAACACGGTTCCAACGATGCCCCCTTATAGTTTGCCCCAACCGGTTGCAACAACTTTCCCCCAAACTTTATCGCAAGTGGTTGCAATGGCTCCGCCCAACATGTTTGCAATGGTTCCCCCCACTCTCCAAATAGGTTTGCTTCATTCACAGAGAGCTGATCCAATGATGCCTCCGTTCTGCCCCCAACAATGTCAATGCCTTCCTCTGTTATTGCAATGAGTTCCTCTGCTGTTGCAGTGACTTTTTCTGCGAATGCTATGGATGGTTCCCTCTGCTGTTGCAGTGGCTTCCAGTAGAGTAGAATGAAGAGTAACGCATATCAAATCAGAGTTGCAATAGAGCAGGGGCAATTCGAGCACAGCACAGCGCGAGTAAGAGCATAATCGAGTCAACCAAGTCGAACGAATCAGAAGGCCACGCCCATTTCACCCCAGCATAAGAACCAACTGTTGCACACTAAGGTTGGAACGCGCTCCCACCTCGCTGACGGAGGGCGCTCGCGCGCGGCCCCGCTTCCGACGACTTGGCAAAGAAAAAGGAACGCGGGCCGCGCAGGGTCGGGAGCGGCAAAACTCCCGATGGGCGCGGCAAAGACGAAGCATGCGCCGCACTGACACGGCACTGATCAGTGTAGCACTGGCTTGGAGGAGGGTAGAAGAGTAGGGGGAGTCGAGTTAAGTGGAGTAGTGCACTGTAAAATAACAGAACAGGGTAGGGTCAGGTTGACTAAAGTACGGTAGGGTAGAACAGAAGTTGATGGTATTATCGAGCCGGCAGCACTACTTAGAGAGGAGCAATGCCAAGCAGAATAGAGGAGAGGAGGATAATATACCTGTGTAGGGTCGGGCCAAATCAGCCAGGTCGAGCGAGTCAGAAGACTCCGCCTACTCCAAACCTCCCTCCTGCAACACAAGAATGAGTTGTGGCACAACTTGATGCTAGGTTTGAAACGCGCTGCCACCTCGCAAACGGAAAGCGCTCGCGCGCGGCCCCGCTTCCGACGACCTGGCGACGAGAAGGGCACGCGGGCCGCGCAGGGTCGGGAGCGGCAAAGCGTCCGATCGGCGCGGCGAGGACGAAGCATGCGCCGCACTGACGCAGCACTGCAACCCGAGCGACACACTGCGCGGAGCTGGGGCGAGGTCTGCACTTCGCCCGCTCTCGCGCGGCCCCGCCGCTGCCGCTCTCGCTTGTCATGCGACTCGGCGAGCAGGCCATGCGCCGCGCCGGCGCTGGAACGCCACCTCCCGAACGAAGCGTGCGCGGAGCGTGGGCGAGGGCGGCAAGCCGTTCGCTCGCGCGGGCCCCCCAAAAAAATTGGCGAGCGCAGAGTGTGCGCCGCGGCGCGGCGGGAGCGCCGCGCTCGAGCGAACTCTGCGCGGCGCCGACGCGAGAGCGCCGTCTTCGCCCGCTCGCGCGTCGACAAGGCTGCGCGCGAAAGCGGCGCCGCGCCCGCGCGGGACCTACCTACATACATACATACATACATACATACATACATACCTACCTACCTACCTACCTACCTACCTACCTACATACATACATACATACATACATACATACATACATACACACACACACATACATACACACACACACATACATACATACATACATACATACATACATACATACATACATACATACATACATACATACATACATACATACATACATACATACATACATACATACATACATACACACACACATACATACATACATACGACAGACAGACAGACAGACATACACACAGCCTTTCAAATCAATCCGTAGGAACCTTGGGGGGTTGGCGTGGACCCCGGGTTCCCCGAGCTCCCCGGGGGCCCCGCAAGGGCACCCGACGGCCCCCCGAGCGCCTCCGAACCGCGCCAGAACACCCCTGAAGAGCCCCCACGCGGCCCATGGGGGTCCCCAGACTATCCAAGACGGCCCTCGGGCGGCCCAGGCTGCTCCCCTGACGGCCACAACGGCTCCAAGAGGGCCCCACGGGAGCCCAGAGAGGACCCCAGGGGACCCCCGAGAGAGCCCCATCAATCAAAAATCACCACATTCCCTTTGGAAAACTGAAGGTTTCAGCAAACTCGCCTTTTGGGCCGTCCCCGCGTCCAAGAAGCTCCCAGGAAGGCCCCCAGGAAGGCCCCCAGATGGCTCATGACGGCCCCGGGACGGTCCACGAGGCCCACAAGACGGCCCAAGATGACCCTAGAAGGGGCCCCAGATGGGCCCAATACGGCACAAGATGGACCCAAGACGGCCCAAGAGGCGTGCAAAATGGCCCAAGACGGCCCCAAGACGGCGAGACAAGCGTCCTACAAGGCCCCACAGGGCCCAAGGAGCCCCCCCGGGACTTCCAAAAGGGTTTCCTACAAGGCCCCCAACGACTTCCAACAAGCTCACATATGCCTCCTACAGGTGAGGGCGGATGACGGACCAGAGGCCCCCACCCATTCCCAGCGATGCCAAAGTTCTATCCGCCCAACCCCGTGGATTTGATCCACGGGTCCACACTAATTTGTGTGTATATACATGCAAATACGGAATAAGGATATAGTATAATATAATACACAAAAGGTTGGGGTACATTTGGATTGGGTAGAACAGAATAGAGTAGGGTAGATGGTAGAATAGAGTCGGGCAATATGGAATAGAGTACAGCGCATTCGAATCCATCCAAGTCCAGCCCAGTCGACGTCAGTCCACTCCAGTCCACTTCATTTCAGTAGTCTGACTATTTGATATCTGCGCTGGCTAATGAAAAAGAGCCGCCTCAATCCCATACGTTTAGAATTAATGCGCACGGTGCTGAGGTGAAAACCCCATTTTGACGGCGCATCCCCCTTTTATCCTTCAAACTGTTCCGAGCTGGTACCACGAATGCGCGCGGCGCTAAGGCGAGAACTTACGGCGACAACTACGTGCTGGACGATCTACATGTTGGACACGGCGCGCCCACCGTCTGTGGAACTGCTGCAAACATATGGAACAAGTGCGCACGGCGCTCCCATTGAGACAAAAGACGCCCTTCATGCTTTTAAGCTGTTGCGAACTCCTACCGTACATGTGCGCGGTGCCGTGGCGGGAGCGACAATTAGACAAGCAACCGACGTCCATTCTTGAAGCTGCGGCAGACTGTTAAGACGAGCGTGCGCGGCGATAAAGCGAGAGCTACATTCTGAAAGTGCTCCCCACTCCATCCCTGAAACAGTTGCAAACGTTTGAAACGAAGGTGCGCGGCGTGAAAACGCTCAGGACCATGTCATAAATGGCAAGGAAGTCTCAAGCGAAACGCCTGGCCTGCCCTGCCGACACGTTCGGGGGTTGCGACAGGGAGGAACTATTCCCCAAACAGTGTTTGTCCTTGGGGCTTCTTACTTAGGCTACGCAAAGAAGACTTAGGTTACTTAGGTTACTCAGGGCTTCTTACTTAGGTTGCTCAAAATACTTAGGTCGCGCAAAACACATGAGCGCGCCGGACTTTTCGCCACGCTGCGGGCCCGTGCCACCTCGTGGGCGCCTCGCGGGGGAGGGGAGGGGAGGGGGGGGCACCGCGCAAGGGGGGGTATCCCGAGGCTGCGCCAAGGCCGCCTCGCGGGCGCCCCGCGCATGGTGCGTGCGTGCGTGCGCGCGCGCGTGCGTGCGTGCGTGCGGGCGCGAGGGCGTGCGGGCGTGCGGGCGGGCGTGCGTGTGCGTGCTCGCGTGGGTGTTTTGTCTCACACTGACCACACAGCCGAGAGCGATGCTCTCGACCGCACGG